TGTGTGTGTGTGTGTGTGTGTGTGTGTGTGTGTGTGTGTGTGTGTGTTAGTTAGTTAGTGTGTGTTAAACAGGAGTAGAAGTGTTTCCACAGTGGTGTTCGTACTGTAGTGATTGATGTTTCTGTGTTCGTGTGATCGCTGCGATGAGGTTACTTTACAATTCATCATTCTCACCAGATGAGAAACGGAGCGTTGATGTGTTCATGCTGAGATGTTTGAGGTTCTAATGAGCTGAGGACACACGTTACTGGTTTTGACTTTAAATATCTTTTACGTTTAAAACATGACTTCAAATAAAAAGGCGTGAGGATGAAATGTGTGGATTCTTGTCAGACTGGTGAATGAGATGTGAGGATGAATATTCATGAGTCAGTGTGAGCAGAGGGAAGACCTGAGGAGACGTGTTGACCTGAGAACTCAGGAAGCTCTGGTTCACTCTCACGTCTCTCACAGACAATATGAAACACGTGTCTGATGTGAGTATGCTGATGGGGTTCAGAGATTGTATTTCATTAATTAAAGATCTAGATAATGAATTCAGATCAACGCAGCAGAACATCTCACATGTCTTACAATACTCTGAAGATGTGATTATCTCTGGATATAACCAACATGTTTATGGCTCATATGAAGCGTGATGACATCGTTCAGGATGTATCAATAACTTCATTGATCCTCACAATGTGTTCATGTGTCCAACACTGGTTTATCACCAAATACATAAAGATGTTCACTGAGCTAATGCTAGCATGCTAACATGGTAAACAACATCATACCTGTGGAACGACCTCATGGGATGCTTTTCAGAGGTGAAGACTTCAACAGTATTAAAGGACGGTGTTTAAACCTCCAGACTGACTCACCTGTGTGTGTGTGTGTGTGTTTTGACACCAGACTTATTGACAAAACTGTTGAAATTCAACTAACCTTCAATAAGAACACATTAAATGATGTATTTTCATATTTCTTTGGGTTTAACTGGTTAGCTTAGCATAAAGCCTGGACACAGAGGAGCATGGCGGTGTAGTTGGTTCATTGGAGAGAAGGTTTTTAATTACAGATGAGTGTTTGAAGTGTCCTAATAGAATGAGTACTCACCGCTCTCTCTCTCTGTGGAGCTCGCTCGCCCATTCTGTTGAAGGGGAATTACCATATCTGAGAGGACACACACATCAAACACTGGTTATGAAACACAGCTGTGTGTGTGTGT